TCAATTCTGGTAATGCGCATTTTCATTAAATCTGGTAATATCTAACCTGGAGTCAAAAAGCAATTTCTTGTGCTTAGAAGACTTTCTATTTCTTGTCATGAATTGATTTATTATAAATGTTAAGGAAATAAGCTGTTACAGCAAATTTAGGGAGAAAGAGAGTCAGTTCCACGTGATGCCCCACAGCAGCATCTGTGTATTAGAAAATCTTCAGGGAGTCTCTGGTGGTGTGGAGGCCTAAGCTAAAACCAGGAGGACTGAGAACATATGTGCCAGGAAGGTGATTTCGATGCCAGTTCTGTCTCTCTCCTGAACCCAATCAACTCAATCATTTCTGTTTAACACAAACTCACATGAGTGCCTCCTAAAAGCTGGTTCAGTCAGCTGCCTCCAGGTCAGACCAGTGAGGATGGAGGTCAGTCACTCAGTGTTGTATGTGGGTGCATCCAAGGGGCAGTGTGGTGCTCTTAAAAGGCAGTGCCCAAGGACAGCAGCAGAGATGCTCCTGCCTTCCCCACTCAGGAAGGGCACCACTGTCCACCCACAAGCAGCTTCCAGAGCCATCACTCATAATATATTTCTTCTCTCATTTAGATTTCCCTGTGCCAAGAAAACAAACAAACAAACAAAAAAAACCTGCCTGCTGTGAATCAGCCTCAGAGATGACCGTGGTTGACTGTGCTGTCTACCATCTGCTTTTAACCACGAAAGAGGAAGCAGCTATGTGGGATACCACATCAGGGTACCTTCCGGACCTAGGGTATCACTGCCTGGAAACTCCCCTGAGTCTCAGTTTCTTCAGATGGGAGGGCCTCTGCTAACTCAAATAACCATACTACCCACCAAAGGAAAGTCCCCATCAGGGAGACCAGCAAGGGAGGCTGACTTTCTATTTCTTGTCATGAACTGATTTATTATAAATGTTAAGGGACTAAGCTGTTACAGCAAATCTGAGGAGAAAGAGAGTCAGTTCCACGTGATGCCCCACAGCAGCATCTGTGTATTAGAAAATCTTCAGTCCTTTCATATCCTCTGACTCCCAGTCTTTTCTTCTTACCTTTTCTCGTACCCAGGGTGTGGTGGGTGGTTAGGGAGGTAGATGAGTGAAAACACCCACAGGAAGGAGGATGGCAAAACTCAGGTCCAAAAGTAACAACTCTGCCTCAGTGTTGTAAATAAGCAACAGTTTTTCCACCCAAAACAACTCATTTGTGCAAGGTTACCAGCAAACTGTATAGCTGTCTCCCAGCCCTGTCAGCTATAATTTCTAATAGCTGTCACTGTGTCCTGGCTTGTTAAAATCCGTGAAAGAAATCATTTCATGTAGCTTTTTTTTTTTTTTTTTAAGGAGATGGAGAGACAAAAGAATGTAGCAGAGTAAAACAGCAAGTGCAAGCAGATGACAGAAATTTCTACAAACACTTAATAGACAGACATTCCTTAGGCTTAGTTAAAATATCTAAATTTCACTGGGGGCAACCGGCTGTCAAAAGATAATCCATCTCTTGCTTTAATTCTCGTATTTCCGAAACCCTGGGGTCTCTCAGCTAGTGCAAGGTCCTGTCATGGTCACCTGTGGCTCGGGCCAATTCTCACTTCCCCTGGAGGGCAGCTGAGTGTAGGGAGCGGGGCCGCCCAAAGTTTCACTCTGATTGGAGGTAAACTTAACATCATTTCTGCATTAGTCATTTAGAGCTGGGCTCAGTACTTTCCCCCAACTGGGTTTCTGCTTTTGAGCTCGCTCTGCAATTTGCCTAATTCTGACTCAATTCTGTCTGGGCCCAGGGAGCTGTCAACAGCCACTCTTCCCCACCCATTTCTCCAGCTGTAGCCCTCTTGCAGGTGTCCTGCCCACAAAAGACCACCAGCATACAACGCCATGCAGGGTCCACCCTGAGCTGGGGGCCCTCTGCCAGCTGCCACTTGGGATCTCTGCCAGATGCCCAGAAGAACCTCACACCAGACATCTCTAGAGCTGAGCGCTGCTCCCACCCAGTGCTCTGGACTTTGGGGAAAGTACCACCACCCATTAGCTCACCCCAGCCACATGCTGTCCCCAGTGCCTCCTGTCTTCCCACTCCCTCCACCTGGTCATCAAGCCTTGTCTCTCCTCAGGACATTCCTGCCACGCCATCAAGAAGGCCAGCCTTGCTGGCATCAAAAATCAGGGGGTGAGCTTGCTGATGGGAGAAGAGGAGAACAGGAAGACACAGTTGAAGAGTGGTAGAGTCTGCAGCACCTGTCCCAAGACCACTGCCACATCCAAGCCTGGCCGCATGGCCTCTAGTGCCAGGGCCTGGCTGGGGGGCTCCTGACACTGTACCTGCCCCTAAACTTCTCAGCAGACCTGACAAAGCTCAGGGGGCTATGCAGTGCCCTGTCAAAGAGAATAGGAAAGGAGGGCACACAGCACACCAATTCCTGCTAGAAAATCTCCAGGGGCTCCCCATTCACTGTGGGTTTCTCTTTGCTTCCCCTTGACGTCACAAGTTCCTTTCTTCTGAATGCAATTTTATCTTCAGTGGGCTTCATTACACAAACAAGGAAAAGAGTGGGGCTGATTGAGCAGGGCAAAGCTCAGAGAGCTCGAGGGCACTGGGGCAGGCTCCCCCTGGAAACCCTGCTGCCTCACCGAGGGTGAAATACAGACCCCAGGGAGTGTCCTTCTGGCTTGGCCACCCCCCATGCCATCAGTTCTTCCTGTCTCTGCCGCTCCTCCCAGTCCCCCACCCCGCAGCCATTTCCATCCGTGCGCCTCCAGAAAAGCCTAGGTCTATTTGCGTCCATCTGGAATACACTTCTTCAGTTTCCACTAACGAAGCCTCAGCCTCAGTGTCCCTTGGATGAAAATTTTTGAGACTTCCAGAAGGTGAGTTTTTAGTTTTCCCCTTGGGGCTCTGATTAAATTTAACTCTCAACACTTCAGCTTACAAGGAATCTTCCCTTCCATGAACTTATTTGGTTCTAATGAGACCATGGGAGGGAGCGGGCTGCCCTCAGCCAGCAGACATGCTTAGCCCTGTGTCTGCCATCCCAGCATGTGGTCAGGGGCACTGTCCCTCTGTGCAGAGAATGGGCAGGCAGACACCAACCCATGGCAGGTCTGAGGCTATTTCCAAAGGCCATGTTCTTTCCCTGATGACGACCGACTCTTTCCTACACCTGCCTCACGCTCTGTGCCAAACTAGGATCATGCACTCAGGGCCCTGCCTCCTCCTGCAGGGCTGGGTCTTCAGGAGCTCCTGAGGAGTAAGGGCCCTGCCTCGGCCACCCTGTTGGCCCCAGTGTCTAACCTAGGCCAAGTGTTCAGGAAACCTCTGGTGGAAATGCTCATATATCCATTTCCTCCTCTGCCTGTTCAAGAGTTGTACTTGAGGCTCAAGCCTGTAATCCCAGCACTTTGGGAGGCCGAGACGGGCGGATCACGAGGTCAGGAGATTGAGACCATTCTGGCTAACACGGTGAAACCTCGTCTCTACTAAAAAATACAAAAAACTAGCCGGGTGAGGTGGCAGGCACCTGTAGTCCCAGAGGCTCGGGAGGCTGAGGCAGGAGAATGGCGTAAACCCAGGAGGCGGAGTTTGCAGTGAGCTGAGATCCAGCCACTGCACTCCAGCCTGGGCGACAGAGCGAGACTCCGTCTCAAAAAAAAAAAAAAAAAAAAAGAGTTGTACTTGAATTTGACTACACACCCTGAAGTGTGGAGACTGGCCCTGACTGCCTTACATAGGCTGATTAAAACTCAGGCAAGGCTGGGTGTGATGGCTCACGCCTGTAATCCCAGCACTTTGTGAGGCCAAGGCGGGCAGATCACCTGAGGTCAGGAGTTCCAGACCAACCTGGCCAACATCGTGAAACTCCGTCTCTACTAAAAATACAAAAATGAGCCGGGCGTGGTGGCAGGCACCCTGTAATCCCAGCTACTCAGGAGGCTGAGGCAGGGGAATTGCTTAAACCCTGGAGGCAGAGGTTGCAGTGAGCCAAGATCACACCACTGCACTGCGGCCTGGGTGAGAGTGAGACTCCATCTCAAAACAAAACAAAAAACCTCAGATTTACCACCTGGAGGATAGAGAACTTAGGAGCACAACATGCTGAGGGAGACAAAGAGAACTTCATTGTGTCTCTCAAAACATTTTCCCAGAGGAAGATGGGATAGAATGAGGGCAGAGCACATGGCACGCGGCGGGAATGAAAAATGACACTGATATAAAAACAACTCGTGTTCACACCAAGGAGCACGGCCCAGGCACGGAGTGTGACCACAGGGGCAGCATGCTGATCTTGGCTCAGACAGCGCATTTGCCACACAGAAGGGCGTACCGTACCCAGTCTGGTTGAGGCAGGCACCCAGCCTCACTCAGTAGGGCATTCAATGTAAGTGCCCAGGAATGCAAGAGACAGTGAACAGAACAGCAGCCAGACAGCATGAAATGCAGAGCTCTTGAGGCACCACCAGGGGAAGGTGGGGCCTGCCTCGCCACAAAACCTGAGACTTCATGTCATGTCTGAGAGGTTGAGAGGATTAAGGAAGGGGCTTTGGGAAGGGGCCAGACATTTTCTGATGAGAAACGCAATGCAGATGGCGACTCCAGGATCTCTCGACCTGACTCATCTAATTCCCTGACCCTGGGCTGTGCCTGAGTGGAAGGCTCTGCCCTTCGTCCCGCCAGCACTGACCCTGTCCTGTCCCAGCCAGGCCTGTGTCCACTTCCTTCAGCTGAACACACCTATTTTGTACCCCAAACACCCAGGGTGTGCAGCAACATCTGGGAAGCCAAGCAGGCATCTCACTGGCATCTCTCACACACCTCAGCTGGCACTCTGCCCCAACCTCTGGCTCTGGAGCAAGCAGAGGCCGACAAGTCAGACAACTAACTTTGTGCTCCAGCCTTCTGGAGGTAACACATGACTGCCCCCCATGCTCTTCTTTCCCAGAACTGAAGCCCAAACTCTGGGCCAGGCTTCACAGCAAACTGAACCACCAACCAAGCAAGCACCTGAGCATGTGAGCCTGTCCTTCGTGCTCCGCTAGGCAGAAGGATGCAGGCAGCGCACCTCCTCTCCAGCCAGTAGCCCACAGTCCTGTCACTGCTGGGTCACACGCAGCCCTCCAATACGGAGCACACATAAATAAACTCTGGTGCCCGCAGAGCCCGCAGTATCCTCCTCTGTTGAGTGGTGAGAACATCTACCATGGAGGACGCTACAAGGATTCAAGAAGCCAGCATTTGTGACAGTGTGAAAAGCGGGTCTGGCCTCCAGGCCCAGGCCACCAAGGAGCATGCACTTCCCACAGGCCCCACTTCCCCTCCAACTTCCACTACTCCAAACCCATGAAAGGGGGAACTGCCCACAAAAGTTCATTCTCCCCCAAACCACTTACTAAGTGCCAAGTGGCCCTGCCAGGCAGAGACAGAGGCCAGTGTGAATCTGGGCCTTTTCCTGCCCACCTGCCATTCCTCTCCACCAGCTGGCGAGGAGGCCCCGGGAGCCCCCACTAGGCTCACAGGCCCAGACCCAAACACTGCCTGTCCAGCCTGGCCCGACCACACTAAGCTGCCCTCTGCCTCTCCCACCTTATAGCTTCAAGACACCTCTTTCACCAGCTGAAGTAGTGGAGAACTTCTCCTGCTGATCCCCTCTAGAGACTGCTCTCATTGCAGAAGTGTTTCTGGAATATGAAGTGTTGCAAAGTCAGTCTATTTTGCTACAAACCACCCTGAGAAGCAATTTGCAAACGCTATCCCTTATCAGTCCGCACTTGGGAACTCTCTTCTGCAACTGAGCTACACTCTCTGGTCCTTCTCTAGGCCCAGGTGAAGATGCAGCCATAGTCCTTCCAGTATGCAAAGCATTATGAAGCTGCAAAGAATAAATCCAACATCTTACTCAGACTTATTCCTGAAATGAACAATGTTTACGTTCTTTGCTAACTTGATGCTCAAATGTCCTCTCAAAATCTAAACACAAGCCCTTCCTGCCAGGCTACACAAACCACACAAAAGAACAACCCTATGGTCCGAAGACTGAGGATTCCAGTCCAGCTGAGGATTACTGTAAACTGCTTTACATGGTTTAATGACAAACATAATAGTCCATCTATACAAACTTGCAAGAGCACAGAAGACAGACACCCAAGAGTTTTACCGAGCATTGTGTGTAACGGCAGAAACAGCTACAAACTACTTAGCTGTTCATCAAGAGAGGGCGGATTAAAATGAGTCATGGCCATTCCTATAAAGGAACACTTTGTAACTCCAAGGGGAATGCTGTGGGTTTGAGCTGCCGCTGAGGAAACATCTCCAAGCAACATTTCTTAAGAAAAAAGGAGAAACAAGATGCAGAACACTGTGTATAATATGATCCCATCTGTGTATTTTTAACCCATTATTTGGGTATACAAACAAATAATAAAGTAAGAGTTACACAAGAAACTTATTAGAGAGGTAAGCCTCTTTCTCTGCTGAGGGTCTAGGGTTGAGAAGGTATTGCGGAGGGAAAGGCTTCATTCCTTTTTGTTTCATTCCTTTAAAAAGGGGGGAGGGGTGGGCACGGTGGCTCACACCTGTAATCCCAGCACGTTGTGAGGCCGAGGCAGGCAGATACCTGAGGTCAGAGTTCAAGACCAGCCTGGCCAACATGGTGAAACCCCCGCCTCTACTAAAAATATAAAAATTAGCCGGGCATGGTGGCACACCCCTGTAATCCCAGCTACTTGGGAGGCTGAGGCAGGAGAATCGCTTGAACCCGGGAGGCAGAGGTTGCAGTGAGCCAAGATCATGCCATTGCACTCCAGCCTGGGCAACAAGAGCGAAACTCCGTCCCCCTCCAAAAAAATGTACGTGCACTCATTGTATTTAAAAACTTAAAACCACCAAATCAATTATCTATGAGAATCAGGAACAAGATCAACACATGAAATCCCCAGATGATTTAAGAATTCCATTCCAGTTGGTATTCACCCCTTTACCACAAAGATTCAACCAAACTGAATTCAGCTTCTCCCCATTCCTCTCTCCCTGCCTGTCCTTAAAACAAAACTAATGAGCTGTTAAAGGGACACGTGTGAGACTGAAAGGGAAGGAAATAAATGATGTGAATAATTCACAACGGGATCATCAGCCCCGCTGTGAGCTCAACAGCCCCTGACACGATGGAGCTGAGTCCCTCTGGAGGTGGTGTGCTGAAGGGAGACTGCCTTCCTGTGTGGACCTGGGACAGAGGTGGCCACAGGCAGGCTCAGTAAGTGGTTGCTGAACCAACTATATGGACAGGAACCAGGGCTCAATGGATAAACATGTTATGTATACACACATACACGCATATTTGCACACAACATAAAAGTGCACACACACACACAGCCTCCCAAATAAGGAAACAGCAAGAAGAACACTCATGAATTAAGACAGACAATCCCCAACTTAGGGATGGTTTAAAATTTAGGGCTCATTTTCTCGCAGAAATGATGGTATAAATGTTGGCGAACTTTCCTGGCTAGCTAACTTATGTCTGTTTAGCTCATAAAATAAATGAACTCCCAGTCAAGCGCGGTGGCTCGTGCCTATAATCCCAGCACTTTGGGAGGCCGAGGAGGGCAGATCACGAGGTCAAGAGATCGAGACCATCCTGGCCAACATGGTGAAACCCCGACTCTACTAAAAATACAAAAATTAGCTGGGTGTGGCGGTGTGTGCCTGTAGTCCCAGCTACTTGGGAGACTGAGGCAGAAGAATCACTTTAACCCTGGAGGCGGAGGTTGCAATGAGTTGAGATCTCGCCACTGCACTCTAGCCTGGCAACAGAGCAAGACTCCGTCTCAAAAATAAATAAATAAATAAAAATAAATGAACTCCCATTCCGTCCTTGTGTTTGATTGGCCCAGACTGTCCGCCGAGGAGACCCCGCGTGCCCTCAGGGAGGCCTCCTGGTTAGACCCCTGAACTTCACCAACACTGCTGTGCTTCTATTCTCAGCAGCTTCAAGGGATGACCTCCACCTGGTGCCCAGCCCAGTACACACAAGGAGCAGAAGTTCCATGTATATGAACTCAGGGCTTCTCCAGACACCACGGGCACTGCCCTCACAGAGCCATTCACCTGCAGGCTGCTTCTCCTAAGTGTCAGGTCTTCACCTCCACTGCGGCCTCAATTTAGGGAATTTACTACTGAATTCGCTGCCAAGACGACACTGAGACAGAGTCGATGCCACCATTTTACAGCATTGTTTATTTTTATGTCTGGCTTAGATCTCAAAAAGGGTCTGAGAAGGCTTACAGAAATAAATACCATTTTAAAATACAAGGAAAAAGGCAACACCAAAAGCAAAAGTAATGAGAAAAAAATACATAAAGTGGACTACAATGAAATTTAAAACTCTTGGGCTGCAAACAATACCATAAAGAAAGTAAACAGACAACCCACAGAAATGGGGAAAAAAAAAAAACTTGCCCATTATCTAGCTGATAAGGAATGTGTTTAAAGTCTTACCGCTCAATATAAAAAACAGAAGCCATTAAACATGGGCAAAGGAGTGACTGCTAGTGGGTACAGGGTTTCTTTGTTGGTGATGAAAATATTCTTGATTGTGGTACTACTTGCATAACTTTGTAAATATATGAAAAATCTCAGAATTGTACACTTTAAGTGGATAAATTATATGATATTTAAATTCTATCTTAATAAACATTTTTTAAAAGGGCAAAGGATTTGGACACACATTTCTCCAAGGAAGATAATGCAAATAGCCAATAAATAAATGAAAAGAAGCTCAATAACGTTAGTCATTAGGGAATTACAAGTAAAAAATCACTGTGAAATACCACTTCACACCCACTGGGGAACATCACACACCAGGGCCTATCATGGGGAAGGGGGAGCGGGGAGGGATTGCATTGGGAGTTATACCTGATGTAAATGACGAATTGATGGGTGCTGACGAGTTGATGGGTGCAGCACACCAACATGGCACAAGTACACATATGTAACAAACCTGCATGTTATGCACATGTACCCTAGAACTTAAAGTATAATAATAATAAATAAAATAAAAGAAAAGAAAAAAGAAAAAAAAAGACAGACAATAACAAGTATTGGCGAAATGTGGAACAATTTGACCCCTCACACATTGCTGTTGGGAACAGAATGGTGCAGCAGCTTTGAAAATCAGTCTAGCAGTTCCTCAAAAGGCTAAACAGTCATCACATAACTTAGCAATTCCACTTGTAGATATTTATCCAAGAGAAATGAAAACATATGTCCACAAAGACCTGTACAAAAATGTTCACAGCAGCATTATTCACAATAGCCAAAAAGTGGAGACAATCCAAATGTCCATCAACTGCTGAATGGATAAACAAATGTGGTGTATCTGGTTATTTAGCAATGAAAATGAAGTACTGATTCATGCTATAACACAAGAGAAGCCTATCCTAAGGGACCACATGTTATATGATTCCATTTATATGACATGCCCAGAAAGAGTAAATTTACAGAGACAGAGAGTAGATTAACGGTTCCTCAGAGCTGGGGTAGGGCGGGGAAGAATGAGGAGTGACTGCTAATGGTACAAGTTTTCTTCTAGGAGCAAAATATTCCAAAATTGGATTGTGATGATGGATGAAAAACCCTGCAATTGTATCAAAAACTGAATCATACAATGTAGATGGGTGAGACAATGGCATGTGAACGACAACTCAATAAAGCTGTTTAAAAAAATAAGAAAAATCCAGCATGTATTTTTTTAACAAATTTGTATGGATTCCTAATAGCAGTACATATTCATGGATTACACATGATACTTTGATCCAAGCATACAATGTGTAATGATCGAATCAGAGTAACAGAAATATCTACCACCTCTAATATTTATCACTACCTGTGTTGGGAACATTCCAAATTTTCTCTTCCAGCTATTTTGAAATATATAATTTTTGTTAACTATAGTTGCTCTAGTGTGCTACCGAACACCACATCTTATTCCTTCTAACTGTATTTTCATGCCCATCAAGTAACCCCTCTCCATCCCCCTCTCCCCACTACCCTTCCCAGCCTCTGGTAACCACTATTCTTTTCATTACCTTCATGAGATCTAATATTTTAGCTCCCACATATGATTAAGAACAGACAGGCTGGCATGGTGGCTCACGCCTGTGACCCCAGCACTTTGGGGGGCCGAGGCGGGCAGATCACTTGAGGTCAGGAGTCCACGACCAGC